TATGCACGTACCGAGGCGGTGTTGCCAAACTGTCGTAAAGTATTTATAAAACGCTACATTTATACTAAGCTCTATATAGTTCAGCTCTTTTTAGGCTGCTAAGACAACTGGAGATCATATCAAATAGACCCACGATTGATCAAATAATCAATTTGATGTCAGAAAACTTTTGAACTTAATGCTGTCGTACTTCTTCCGTTACTAAACTAAGTCGTATAGTATTCTGCGTAGGGCTCTAAGAGTCAAATTATGCGTTTTGAGAATAGCTTCTCTCGCGAAAAATGTGATTCATAACTTCAATGAATGAGAAATATGTTTCGTAGGCTGCAAATGGATAAAAAAGGTGCCCACCATGAATAAATGTCTGAACAAAAGTGAATTTGAACAAAAAAATGCAGTCACTACAAATCCAAAAAGGATTATCTATCTATTGTTATGTGGCCGCCGTCTTTTTGGATCTCCTATATCTTCAATTTTATTCGCCTGTCTTACTGTCTTCTCTTTATATAACTACTATTTGCTCTCGGCTCAACGGTGACGTCAACTTGATTAGCAGATTTGCAATTAATCGAGTTTGCAACCATTCGGGTATTTATCAACGGCACTGTCCGCATGTCGGTCTTGCTTTTTGCAATACTCTTACGTAAACTGGTATCATTAGTATACTCAAAATGTGCGACAGAGCTGTTTACTATCTGCGGACAAAAGTGAAAAGAAAGTGAAAATGGTGTAAAGATATCACCACTATGGTATTTACGAGCTTACTTGCTTACCTGTTATGAATAGCTTTACTGCCTGTTTATACAAGGTAACAAAATCGGGGTCGTAATGCAAATGTATTCACATCTCTCCTTCTTTAAGTTTTAAAGGAGGGAGATAGAACTTCTCCGCACCAATCTCTCAAGCTAGGAGTTAAATGTATGTATGTATACGAGTACAAGTCCTTCCGTAAAAAAATGGTTCAAGTAAGTCAAACAGGCCTATACCATCTGGCAACGTTGCTGAAGTTTCAAGGGCAAATGTACGGGAAATCTGTGATGTATGGTATATGTCTTGAAACTGAGATATACCATCTCCATCCCCTACAACCCCCAATCTTTAACCCCTACAAACATTTTTCTGAAAGTCAAAAACGTCAAAATACGACGTTCGAGCGATTTAAATTTTTTGAACCTAGCTTCTCTGCCCCTAAGCCTATGTGTGAAAATGTCTTGAAAATCAGTAGACGGATCAAGGATTAACGGACACACCGACCGACAGTCAGCCCCGGCGACTTCGTTTTTAGTGATGTACCTGATGTACCATCATTCAAAAAACATATAATCCCAATGACTTAGTTTTTCACGATCACAATACTTCCTCGTCAGTAGCACCAATATATTTCAGCTGTCAGAAATCCTCTAGGAAGAGGATACCCAATGGGGCAAAATGTTTTCAACATTCCACCCTGTACAAAAGGCACGTTTTACTTAGCATTGCAGAGTTATGCAAGGCACGTTTCGCAGAGTTGTGCGAGTTCCCGTTGTAACGTTTTACATGATTTAAATAAATGAGATATAAACATACTGGTGACGCTATATAAATCAACATTTTTTACAAGAGTCGGGCCACGCACGTGATCATGAGTTTTATTAATGTCACTGCAAGCTGGGAGATCGTCCCTGCCGGAAAGGTATTGAATATGTACAGATAAGCAGGAGAGTCTGTTTTCTGTTAATTAATTGGATGACAATCATAGGGCTTAGTAGCGTCTTGGTCCATACTCATAGACATAATGAAGATTTTCCTGATCGGTGGACTCAAATGCGAAATTGCAAAAAGATCCTGATACTGCAGGTATCAAAAGTCTCAGAGCCAAAGTACTCGTATGACTAGAATGTGATGAGTTGGTGCTTACCAGTAAAAATGTCTTATGGAAATAAAGGATATCATTAGAATATCCTCATTCCACATCCACTAACCATCACATCCGAAATTCTGAAAATTCTCTTCAAAACAAATCATATGCGCCTATCATTCAATATCTGAATTCCTCAATTCGTGATAACTTGTAACTTAAGCTGCTGCGCTTTATGTACAGGGTGTCCTTAAAGTTAGAACTTTATTTAAAGAGCGTGTCAATAATAAGCATGTTTTTCACCAAAGCTTCAAGATAACCGAGATATTCGGTTCCAAAAAGCAATAATTGACCCAGTAGGACCCTGCTACCCTCCCCTCGCACAAAAGCCTCCTACATCAAAACGAATAATCTTGTGAATCAGTATCCAATTGCGTTGCGGGAGGTCTAGTTTAATTTAGCGAATAAACAAACTGCATTTGAAAAACCGAATTTAGTACATTCCTAGAGCAATGACACAATTATTGATTTGATATGAGTATCTTCAAGATAATATTGATACTCCGCGAGTGTACTCAGAACGTTTTAATCGTCCTAGATGTTTATTTCCATCAGAACTGCATATGTTTGTTTATATCGCGCAAAAGCCGTCTAGCTGAACACACCTGAAGTCAGCCCCAAATGTTGCAAATTTAGGAAAAGGTAAACACACTCGCGTTTTTTAATCAAACAGCAATCACTTCAAGCAGTGTTCACAAACGAAACATGTGTCCGGGCAGTTTTTGAAATCCGTTACTAAATGGATAGTGTACTTTTCTTCAACTTCTTTTTTACGTTTTCGGTGTTGTTTTGCCGCAAATTAGCTTTGGTAGTGCAAAAGGTAGCTGACTCTTAAAAGGAAAGTCTCAACATTCAGGACACCTTGTATTTTTTAAAGCCTTTTAAAGTGCCTTTATTGGACTTAATTTTATCCCATTTATTATTCCTATATCTGTGTTAGTTTTTATCAAGTATCATCCTGTCAATTTTCAATGAAACTTAGTGGTAGCATAATGACCTTTCCAATACCTGTAAATGGTCTTCTGAAATAAAGTTACTGTCTATCTATCTATATACCTATTTCTAATATAAGACCAAGACAATCTCATTCTCACACACACACACGCACGCTCACACACAAGATAGGTAATTGTTATTGGCTAAAATCTGTTTTGTCATAGTTTGCCCAACTCTAGCGCCAGCATCTTCGCGCCCATGGAAAGGAAATGGCACATCCTTGAAAGTTTTTGGCCGGCCGGCAAGTCGACTGGCATTCGAACGCTGATCAGCGCAATTTACATCCACAGTGACCTGTAATACTTTTTAAATACCTGCTGGTTGTATCGTTGAATATCTCTTCCTGTGCATAGAGATGATCGTACGTTAAACAATCGAGTAGCGAACGCAGTTGAAAGCTTAACACTCATCGGGTTACAGTATCTGACCATTATGATCACACTAATTACTTGAACTCATAATAATGCAAGTACACTGTCTTGTAGCTAAAAGCTTAATAATAGCTTAAGCATATATTATATTTATCTGTAAACGTTAACTCAAAGATCCTAAACGTAATCCGGAGGACCAGATAATAACTAGCAACAACCGTTCCAGAGTGATTGTATCGCTGTATAGTTACAGTTACCTCCATGACATAAACAAATGAATGAGATGTTCGCATACCGTGCAGCGCCGCCCGTGAGATGAAGATAGATGACACGAAATAAACCTTCTCCTTTTTTTTCTCTCGTTATGAACGAGATGAACCTATTATCTCACTCGCCAGTCTCACCAATCTCCGTTATCTCGGGCAACAATGGGCCCTTTTTAAATTCCATCAACATCAGCAAAACAACCGTGGCTGTGAGAAGCTCTTCAGATCTGCGGTTGTTTCACGATTGGTACCAGAAATGGAGTGCTGTTAAACCGCATTCTCAACAGGACTCAAACAGCTTCCGTATCAACACAAACTTGTGTCGTGCGCCTAAAACAAGCACGGTTTAGTGATTTTGGTGATACCCAAAAATATCCTGCGGTTGAAGTGCATAGCTTGAAAATTCCAAGTACGGTCGGGTGAGATCATAGGGTTTTAAGAGGAAATAGTTCTCCAACAAAAACTAATAAAATGCTAGGTTATTCCAAATAGGTACGACTCAAAAACGGTGCAACATACATTCAGTGTGAATTTTGCCATAACACCTCTGAACTACATAAAAAAACTCCAAGGTACTATAAAATTCCATGCACGGTTTCTCGGTGCTCATCGTACTCTTGTTCCAAATTATACAGAACTCAAAAAGACCTAAAATATGGACCCCAATGAGAGAGACTGTTAAGGATCGTTTTACCGAATTCGTGGCCCCATCAAACAAAAACCTGAACAGAAATAATGCTTGGTATGCTACCTAAAGATTCTCACAAGCAATGTCTAAAATCGAGCTTTCAAACGTGACTCTTCCAACACAGAATTGCGAGCTAGGTTTTGCGTCTGATCATGCAATGAAATCTCCGTGGAAATGTAGCAATATTGGGAGCGAATAGTGTTTGTTAGCTACAATAGTGTTGTTCAGAATGATTTTAGCGTTTTATCGTTATTGGAAAAATAGTGGTCAAATGTTTTAGTATGGGAGTAACCCCAGAGACAACAGTACCATGAGTTTTCAAAATTTTGAAAACATTTACAGTGCACTTGAAATTTTGGGGTATACAATGTGGATATTTTCCATTCCGCTTACAATATTGTGTAATACTCTGTTCTCATCAATTTTTCAGGGACATCGTGGTTAAATCTTCTTTTTTTTCCATGTTGAGATTCATACTTTAAAAGGGAACACACTCAAAGCTTTTGTATTTCTTGCAGGAGGAATCAACAAATATAGAAATTAGTTTTCATACCAAATCATGGCAGAAAGTGATCACATTTACTGATACTAATATAGCGTTAAAATATTTATTAGTCCGGTTTATGGTTATCTCAGTCCTAAGTTTGAAGAAATTTCATATTCGGACTTTGTAGGGCAGTTGTTGCCCTTCTAGTTCATAGATAGATAGCATATAATAACAGTACAATTCTCATAAACAGTGATACGTTTGGTAAAACAACAACTTAAGAGGAAGGAAAACTAGGCGTCGGCGGGAATCGAACCCGCATCTCCTCCGTTCCATGGAGCCGAACTAACCAACTAGTCTACAACACCAGCTGTCGACCAACTTTCAGGATCGACTGTTTCGTGCAAATTCAATCCACCCACACCACTGTTCTTCTGTTCTGTCAAGTTGTTTAAACGTTGCCAGCTGGGGCATTATTAATTTTAAAATGGTTTTTCCAAACCACAGAAACCCTCACCATTTTCGGCAACTGTCTGGAACACTAGAATTATATGAAACCCATGCACTTTTATATGCTTATGCAAAAAAATGTAATGTGAAATGTCAAGAATTGTCAGACCCATAGTATCAACCTGACTTGACTGACTATTGACTACGTAAATTTGGTGACAAAAAAATCGTTTACTTGCCTCTTCCTACCTAGTTCAAATCAGTGTATACTATATTTTTTTGAAATGGCCTAATCCTTGAACGGTTAGCTCACGTCTCAGCGTAATTATTTGGGAAGTACCATATAGCCGTATTCCCTTTTTTATACTGTAACTGTTTTTTCAAACATTCCATAATACCTAGTTTGAATTTTCAATAGAGTATTTCTATGTAACACCACACAGCATCGGTAAAACCGTAATTCACGTCGTGCGAAATCCCAGCAATCACATTAGCGTTAATATCCTTGCGAATATCAAACATGATGTTCCCCGCGTGATCGGAAAACCACCTCTAATATCCATAACTTGACTAGAAGATGTCCTTCGGATATTTGCGGAGACCATAATGGATAAATATTCCAGCCAGTCGGTCGGTACGTGGCTGGCGATGGCGGTGCTAGGAGACACGTCATTATTAGATTTTGCAATGGTTATAGCTTGTGATATACTGCAAGACACAATTCAAGAAGATGCATCACTGAATTTCATAAAAGACTTTTGTTAACATAATTCAAGGAGCTGCATGATTTGGGGACATCAGAATGCACTTTTTATTGGTCAATCTTTTTCTTCGCTCTCGTAATCCCGACATGATCCGCGTTTTAGTATTTCGCGTTTCACTTTTATTTGAAAAGCATCGTCAGACTGTCTTTTGCATTTATGGCTACGATTATACGACTATGTCCTAACATGAATACAATTCCTTGAGCATAATGCCCTATTCTCCTTGTCTAATGGACTTGAATTTGTCTTTCTTTATCTATTAGTAGAGCAGATAAATAGGTCATCATTCCTTTGAAGCATCCTTGTTAGAAAAGTCGCTCTTTGAGTCAGCAGGGGAAAAAGATTCACCTTCGTATATCACTTAAATTTTTGAGGATGTAGCTTATTTTGTAAAGAGAGGAAAAAACTAGGAATACTTTTGTTTTGCTGGTAATAGATGCATTCACATAATAATATGGAGAACGTTAAAAGCTGCTAAATAAATCCTCGAGGACTAATAAAATTAAGCCCAATTTCTTATGGTTAATCTATACCATCGTTTTCAAGAATTGGCATCCTAGTCGTAAGGTATCCGAACTGCGCGACAACATTTACTTATCAGCGCGAGTGTTCCGCGGAGGTCAGTTCGACTACAACTGCCATTCCTACATACTAATGACATTGTCTAGCACAATATATCTAACCTATAGTTTCAAAGATGACAGCACTTTACATTCAGACACTCAGGGAGGTATTCACGAATGAAATGGAGAGATAGAGACACCTTGCAGCCCTATGCTGCCAATGCCCACTACTGCACTCCATTAAATTGAAGGGATTCAAATGAGTTTCAAGTTCCACTGACTGATTGCACTTTTGAGATGGGCTACTTTTCACTTTGACCATCTAAACTTGACAGCTCATACAAGGCCCACATAAAGTTTGGTTCGAATGTTGCTCTCATACATGGCTCTGGGGAGCTAATGCTCCGACTACACCCGCCACATTTGGTATGTAGGGCTACCAGACGTTCGGGATTGCCTCGGCATTTCGTATGATGTCTAGAGTCCCGGCAAAGTACAAATAATCCCGACAAATAACAGAACACGCGGTTTAAAAGTCACTTCACTGATTGAATTGAACGTTATCATTTTTCTGAGAACTCTCTATGTAAGAAGTATCCTTTTGAAATTGAACATTCATTAACTTGTTACGACCCCTCCCAGTTGCCCGACTTGCTCAATATTTCTGCTTACACTGATCAGGATTCTCTTCACTATGATTATTGTTGCCTCAAAGAAATATTTACGTATGTTCCAAAAGACAAGGACAATATTCTTAGTTACCAAGTGTGAGCATATTTTTTTAAAAATGTTACCAAAATGAGGTAAAAAAATTAAAAGAAAAGTATATGTTTTGTCTTAACGATTCCAATAAATAACCTGTATACCAGACATGATGACAATAGATCCAATTTAAGCTGAACTATTAATAAGACGATAATACATATAATATAATAAACTTTGATGAAAATTGTTCAAATTTGAAAACTTGTCTGAATACCTCAAAAAACACCAACTTGATGGTATCGTTGTACTCAAATACTTGTGGCAAAGTATAAAATAAGTGTGTTTCAATTGTCTCATATTTTGATCTTACGTTAAATCTCATAAGTTACCAAAAAAGTATTTTGTTGTATTAACTTTAACTTGGATAAAAAATAACAATTTAATTCGTAATATTTATTTGTCCTGATTTTTAGAATTATGTCCAGATATTTTGGTCATCCCACCTAGTAACCATATTGGTATGCTTCAGAGAAAGGTAACCCGGTGGCACTTCCTCAAATTTTTTAACCGCTTTGATGCTGGTATGCCAAAGCATTCAGATTTCGCGATTAAGCTCTTATGCATGATAACGCCACATTTTTAGTCTGCTAGACCAACACGATGGGCTTCAGCTTTATATTGTAACTTGGTTATTATGTGTACAACTGGAACTGGCCGGTGGGATCCTTGCTCTATTCCTAAGATATCAGGAATGCAGAACTATAAATTCCGAATCTGAAATATATGAACATATCAATAGACAGATTTTCTATTCATACAAATCATATATCTAGCTTACATTTTATCCAGCTTAAACGAGCTTAGTGATTGTTATTAGTAAACAAGTAAATGAGAATTATATTTAAATGATGCTTGTTTGCTCGCTAGCTTAAGTGCGAAGGACAAGTGCGAGCGGCAACTACTAATTACACGTATGTGTCGGCTAAGCTTGCGTAAATTGTGTACAAGAAGTGAGGGCATGATTCTTCTTTTTATAGAATCAGCTCTCCAGCTTTTGCAATTATCAATTCGCGTAAAACTTTTGGTGAACAGTGTAATTAACTGGGTAGGGCACCCACTCAGCTGTGTCGTTCAACCTTAAATTGAACGGGTTATATAGGAACGATCGATTTATGCTTTTCGATTTGTTGCAGCGAAGCCGATGGACATTCAGTGCTTTTTGATTTATTCTTACAGAGTGGTTCACTTGCAAGGAAGTGATTATATACTTCTGAATCTCTTTCGTACCTCATACTTACATTTACAAACTTAACAGTTTATAATGCAACGGAACTTGTAAGCCATGGCAACGCTGGTCATATAATTGATCAGTCTAGCTAGCCATATACAGAACCTACTGTGAAAAAAATTTATAGATGAATATTACAATGGAATTATGTTCTTGAGGATAAATGAAAATCCCTCCTATCTATAGATGCAAAAACATGTTGTCAACTCCGTACGTCCCTTTTTTCAGCAGCCGGCCTGGAGGAGTATTCTTAAGTCTGATCGTGTCATGTTGTGACTGACGACTAACAAACAATGTTATCAGTTTCTTTTTTTGTGTATTTTTAATGCATTTTTTTCAATAGTAACTTGTTATCAAATAGTAATACAGCTCTAAAATTGTATGTGGATATTCCACTTTTATGGAAGAATTGAGTGGATGACTTTTTTTGTTATCAGTTTCTAATCTGCCTTGAAAACTCAATTTATTTTGACATACAAGTTCAGAGATGTGCTAATATTTGTTAACAAGTTACGATTGAAGAAAGGATGCACAATGAAATGCACAAAAAATGCATTTTTGACAAAAAATTTATAACACTGTTATTTAGTCATCTCTATACACACCGTGAAACGATCAGATGACAAGAATTTAGAAAACGGTTCCAAACAGGCTGTTGAACCAAAAAAGGACATGTAACTAGTAACCTTAATGTTGGTAAAATCACTTTTTGCAGCTAAGATGAAATCGAGAAAAAAACACCCAAAGCTTAAGCATATACGTCAAAGGATTTTAAAAACGCTATTGTATGTTACTACGAGAAAACTTTGCCAATATCAATCAACAACCAAATATGTCAGTACATCGCCAGCGATTACGTCAAAAAAGGCTTTCATCATCGAAAAGGGTACTGATGGTAATGAATTCACAAAAATTGTTGAAACTTTACGAAGTAATTTTATTTTGATATTAACCAATGCAAAAGCATTGATTTTTGTTAACACCGCTATGAAATTTTCGGTAAAATATAAATTTTGAAATTATTGACTTTTTGCTAAGGAAAATCAATCAAAGTAGATAATTGGTCATTCCCATCCTCTAAAACTCTTCTTTTAATCACTTTTATCGTCCCTTAACAGTTTTTAAAAATACCTGTATGTGAAAACTTGTTCACCTTTGAAGTTTAATAAAAAAAACAGTTAGTAAGCAAAAATGTTTGTATCTGACTTTTTAATTACCCTTTTCTAAATTCTATACCTATCTCGTATGTTTGTATATTTTTTGAGCTAATTACTTGTTTATCTAGCATTTCATGCCGTATGTAAAAGACGACCATATGTCTGTAAGTGAAAGTTAAATTGATTGAATGAAAACAACAATTGGATATTAACGTTAATGACTCGAATAATGTATCTAAATATTTATACCCATTTTCATACACAGTTCTACATATTTCATTTCATGGAGCTCGTGTCATTGTTTTTTACTTTACTTTCGATATTACGCGTAAAACGACCTTTATCAAATTTTCTGCGTGGTTTGCAAGTATTTTAGATTTCCTGAAATTGTTCGAAACACTATATTTAGTATTTCCGTAAGGGTCGTCTGAGCGCTTATTA